TTCTGCTCGTCCTCACGCATGCTCGATAACGGCGTCTCATGATGGACAGCCATTTGTTTGAGAGTGGAGAATGAGAGTATAGAGGGCAGTGGGTAACAGCTTTTTGGGGTCTTGTGTGCTCTGTAGCCTACATATGTGGACACACCTGACTTACTTGTGTCCATATGTGTTTGTGTCCATGGGCGCGTGTGGATGTGGTACCTGGGAGTGTGTCATCGGGGGCCACTGAGGAGAAGCATGTTAACCAGAGGAGCAGCCGGTCTGCCAGATGTTCCCATTCCCAGTAGGCTTGTCATGAGTGGACCTTTACTGCTTCCCCCTCAGCACACATACACGCACACACACACACACTGGTCTATACATAGAACCGAACCAGAACAGAGGATAGCGGCTTCTGTTGCATTTGCATAGAATGAGTACAGTTGGGCCCCTGTTCAAAGGGAGCTGCAGAGAATAATGTGTAAAACCACCTGGCCTTGGTGATGAAACATGCTTTACAATAGCCTCTGTGATTGCCTCCTTAGAAAATGAAAAACACTTGTGTGCATAAAAGATTTATTTTCAATAATTGTAGAACCAAGTTGCATGCAATTCAACATTACACTAAGTCCTCCACATGTCGGAAAGCTGCTCTTATGTTCTCAAGAAAGACACTTCATCAATCATGAGGCCATATTTTGTTCATACTATGCGTCATTTACACCTTGTTATAGCTTCAGTGTTTATTAGAGAAACATTAACACAAATATTAAATGTATTTGTCCCTCACCTTTGGTTGGATATTGTGCACCACTGGTTGTTGAAGCCATCACTCACTCAGTAAAGCATTTTTGACAAACCATGTCAATTTCCAATGGCATTTGCTAACATACATGCTTCATTTCCAGTCCTGTGCTAGCTGAGCCAGTCCTTGTTCTCATCTTCATATACCATGGCCGGATGCCTTTCATGCCGTCATGATCCTAGGTAGAGGATGTGGCCATTTGGAAATGTCATGAGAAAGGTCGGGGCCATCATTGCATCCCAGTTCAACAGGCTGATTTATGAGGCTATAGCAAATGATATATGTTGAGCGCCCAGTGGAACAAGCAGGGCCTTATAGGCAGCCCAAAGGTCACCTAACTTCATTTCAATTAGGCCTCAGGGTGGCCTGGTAAATATGTCAGCATAGGCATAAGTGAGGAGGATACAGCTTCACTTGTGATGACACTATTTAAGTGAGTAAAGATAAGGCCAAAACAAAGAAGCTGGAAGTCTAAGGCCAGTATCGATTGGAGTGTTGAGAAGTTGCCAAATGAAATAATCATCAAAGTGACTATAACACATTGTGCAAAGCCAATGCATTGCTTGTTATTTACTAAGCAAGAAAAATGCCAATCTCTGTGCTTCCTCCACTCCTGTCAATCAGCCTGAATAATGCTGGCATCAAATCCCATCAATTACCGCTGTCTGTTTGACAGATCCAACACAAATTCTGATTAGCTGGCAATTCTGTGCACCACTAAGACAGAATTGTAAAGAACAAATGCCTTGACATTTGAAATATCTGAGTCAAAGTTTACCACCAAACCTGACAGGTTTCATCCCACCTCCCTGGCTGTGTATCACCCCCACACAAAACGCGTCAAAAAGTTAGACACAAATTGTCAGGACTGGATTGTCTGCTCTAGCACAGTAACATGCAGCACTTGTCTAATTTCTCGATTATCTTCTTGTTACCCATGTGGTGTTTCCAGTCAGCCCAGTTGAATCACAGAAAAATGTATTGTCTGATATGAGTCATAATATTACACCAGGGCTATTACAATACAATACAATACAATACAATATATTCTTGTATAGCCCTATATCACAACAGCATTCACCTTAGAGGATTTAACAAAACCATTGAAATCACCAACACATATCAGAGAATCAACAGTTAAGATACAAAAAAATACACATATATATCGGTCCATATGGTGAGACCAATGTCCATGAATGTTGTTAAATGTCCATACATGTAAAATGTTAAAGTGTCCATCATCACCACAGTCCTTCTTGTTAGACACTAACTGTTCAACAGATCCTCCTGCATTGGGAAGGAAAAACTCTAAAACCCAGAGGGAGAAAAGCGGGAAACCTCTCGGAGATCCACATTGAGAGAGGGATCCGCTCCACACGGACGGACAGGCTATAGATCCAGGACCTAAGCTACAGAACGAGGACCAGGGCCATGCATCGGCCGCAGAACGTGGACAGGTCTAGTGCAGTACTGAAGCAGCTCCCAGGCGGGTCGGGCAGGGCAGTCCGCAGGTGTAGATGGAGAGGGCTTGTTCAGAGGTCCCGTTGTCGCGCCGTGAAACAGACAATGGGACAACGGGTGAAAAGCAATGAACAGACAACAGTCAAAATCCTAATATTGCAGACAGAAGGAGGAAGGAGGAGAGGATAATGCTGAAGTTACCATACTTGTCCTAGCAAGCTGACTCCCTAAGCAGCTTGACTGACAGTCTAAGATTTTTAACCTTCCCTGAGTCTTACCTTCCTGACCATATGCTAAACTGAAGAGGACTGTTTTAAGCCTAGCCTTGAATGAAGAGACCATGTCCGAACGAAGAAGACAGCAGTAGCTGCGGTTAGGCTAGCCCAGGTGACAGCACCAAAGATTTGTGAATTACACACCAAGTGTGTAAACTATTCAACCTAATTTTCCTTATGCATGCGCATCATAACTCCACTCTTAACTAACATGCATTTGATTTTTTTCAGTAATTATTAGAAAATGTCAACAAACACATAAATGCCTTTGCTATACAAAGCTCACAAATTTAGTTATGTGCTATTTTCTGATGCGAATGGTTAGTATATTAGCACTGTATTGGATGATTTGATGATTTAAATATTCTTTGCAATACCTTTTTGCCTTTTTTTTTTTTTAACAAATGGCTTGGATCTGTTTTTGACCAAGTGACCTTGAATGTGTCATGTATAATTGTCTTATTGGTTCCACCATGTGCTGTCTGCATCCATGTAAAACAGTTTGCATGTGTGTGTGTGTGTGTGTGTGTCTGTCCGTGCATGTGTGTGCATGTGTATCAGTGTGAGTGTGGGTGTGTGAGTGTGGAGGTCAGGCCTGTCAGATCCGATGTCCAAGCACATGCTGTGATGTGAAGGCCACTGTCAAGAGACAACCACAAGGCAGCACAGGTACAGCTGCCCCCAGTGCTCTTTTCCCTCTCCGGCACAGGAAGCACACACACAAGTGATCTACACAAACGCACACTAACACATGGTGGTGGGAAAGCACCCCAGGGTGACAGCCCCAGGAGCTGCACTCCCTTTTCAAAACAAACCAGACCACCAACTCGCTATCTATCTGTTTTGGACGGTTGAGTTGGAAGAGAGACTGTGCCTGGCCAAACGTATTAGTGGGACATTTTAGGCCCCATTTAGACGGAGATACTGTGGTTAGCATAAATGACCAGGCTCTTTACTTGAAGTGCACAGCATCTACCCAACAACGGAAAACAATGTCGTTCTAGCACACGGTCAATAGGGGGCACTTGAACTTTATAACACGACACACGCGACCCCCAGCAGTATAACCACTTCTTCAACAAGATCCTCCTCAGGCCACTGCAAAGAGATGAAAGAATGCACCAACATCTTTCTGCATTTAACAGCAGCTGCAAGATTGGAAACTCTAACAAAAGAAAGGAGTAGAATGTTCTCAGTTACTGCGCATTTCCAAATGTATGTGTTCGCGCAGGGAAGCGGTGAGGTCATAGCAGGCAAAGAATTCACACCTTTTTATTCACACTGTTGGGAAACAGCCCCCGCTGAGTAGCGTATCTGTTTTGTTCCACTCCGGAGGCTGTTTCTCAATGCTTGCGTTTTTACCCCTTGAAACACTGTCTTAGTGTAAACGAAAGGCCAAACCGATAACCAACTCTACAGTTTTACTGTCGCAGCGTCCTTGTGTAAACAACATATGTATCGGTGATGGGCGTTTTGGTAACAGGGGGTAGGCCCAGATACTGTAAGCTGTTCCCAGCTTCTGCCAACTCCCTTTTGGGCTATTGTATTTTCTGTGCTGCTTTTTTGTATGATTGTTTTACTACTACTACAACACCCTAATATCGAAATATGATTATGAAAATTAGTATTAGATCAATTAGTTTTATTTGTTCAGAATTGACAAATTGAGGACTTGTATGTTCAATTGTTTGAAACGTCTTTAACATAGGTATTATATGGGTATATATTTTTCTAGATACTCAAAAAATATTCACATAAAATCAGCTTTTTTCCCCGTTTGGTCCTGTAACATGTAGCCAGATCTTGGCTGTGATTTAGAAAGTCTGTGTAGATCGACATGCAGATTATGGATCCTCCCCGGCAGCATGGCTCCCTGCTGTGAACACACTTGTGCATGTGATAGATGTGGTTAGGGCCTGGATCGACCACATACATAACCAAGCCATAGTCCTTTGTTGAGTATTCTTAAGAGCGTGGCTGATCTCTAAGCACTGCTCATTCGGTTTACTATAGGCTCTCACTGGTAATGAAAATCGGTTACACTGCATTGAAAGTGCCTCAATGTTTTATTTTGTATTAGTAGTAGTGGTAGTGTGTAGTAGTATTACTGCTGTAGTTTTAGCAGTATGTCTTTCTGATTGGAATATCTTACCAGATGTTTTCTGTACACTCCTGACATCTACTTTTGAATTGAAGGCATCAAAAACCACAATTAATTTACTGCATACTCAATTAAATAATAATCAATAATAAGAGGAGAGTAAAACTTGTATTTATAGAGATGTTTCTGTGACCAGAAAACCAAACTCTTGCAGATACCAAACACAAAAACAAGCCGCAATTACTCTGAGGCTGTGTAATTATGCAAACATGTTAAAGAGAAACAAATTGTGGCAAAACCATTGTGGCCTACACGGTCCTGTGTTGTTGACTTTGTGTTTGATGCATTGGGACAAATCTTTGTGTCCCTACACTGGCTGTCAGGCTTGTTTTTGCTCAGCAGTATCCCTCCAGTGCACACTATGTGGCGGGAAAGAGAGAGTGCAGTGCAACTTTAATGCTAATTGATCCCAGTGAAGACGCACGGACACAGGTGCGTAGCCGCAGGCCGAGGCTCTGACACCGCTGCCCGGGGAGCTGCGGTAACCGATGGAGCTCGATGGTGCCTGGTGCACCAGCAGCAGCCAGTGCACAGGTGACCCAGTTCTGTTCCAATCAGAGCAGGTTTGATATGCTCAGAGCTGAAGGGACGCTGCTACGGGCCTTTTCACACAAACGCTCCCTGAAAGTCTTTACTAAATGTTTCTCTAGGACTACAGTTTACAGGTGTACACTTTTTATGTCATTTTTAGCTTCTAATTTAGTTCCAAAATGTGTCAGGATATTTCCAAAGGCATGACTGAAAGTTGGTCACATACTTCTCTTCTTACAAATTGACAAATTGCTTTGTTGGTGTCAGGGAAGAGTCAAATTCCTGGCTGTATAATAACATTGAGACAATGTAGACCAAATTCATTATTCCACTGATAATGGAACTTATATACGTTGTGACACATGTACATATCATTGATTTTTTCTTCTATTGTTATAATAGAATGGACATATTAGATGCAAAATTTATATATGTGGTGCCAAAATTCTTTCAAGAGTCATTTTGACATGATATTTGGTTAAATGTTGCATTTTCTTTGAACATTGTATTTAATGGAGCATGTTTTTTTCCACAGCACATTGTTCTCGTACTGTATATAGTGTTTGTTTAGTGATGTACTGTACTTTTAATCACTGACCATGACACAGCCAGGAGCTTTGTCGGATGTTTATGTGGGAATGTTAGCTAGAGACATCACGCTAGACACAGCTCATAGTCTAATCAATCCACCAAGTTCATTTTCATGATTTGGGCAGGTGAAATTGCAAGTTGCATACACTATGATATGCACCAGATGTTCCTCTAGATCCCGGGTGTCAAAGTCAAGGCCCAGGGGCCAGATCCGGCCGGTGAATGAATTATCTTGGCCCCCGGTATTGTATTCGATTAGTGTTATAACCGGTCCGCACAGAGCCATAAGAAAATATGGGATTATTCATTCAATGTTCAGGACATGTTTTTTCTCTTTGAAGGGAGTTTGTTTTTGTCTGTGAGCCTTTTGAAAAATGTTTTCACTTGAAATTACTGACAGAGCCATACAGAAATATGGGATTATTCATTTAAATAAAATATGGTACACCTCGCTCCCATTTCTGTGTGGAGTGAAAGACAAATGCCCACAACATTTGTAGAACAATTTCTGGCTCAGGTTTGTGAAAGTATGCAATATTTTTTAAATGTTTTTGTTTGTTTTTTTGGCCCTTTGATGTATTTGATCTTGACATCCCTGGCCTAGATCAAGCAGGCTCAGTGCTTACAAGAAATATATGGCTTCATTGAGTTGGTTTTTATCTATAATGTACATGCACTCGGCCTGTGTGCTGTCCAGCTACAAGCTTTGAGTGTGTGGAAAACAACATCAATTATTTGATTTGGTCTAGATGAGTGAAGACTCTGTACTGTCAAATCACAGGTGTGCGGATTAGGTGATATCCTCCTCATATTTTCTTTGTATATCTTATTTGATGGCATTTCTGCCATGTAAATCTCATCAAAAACTAGCTAACAATAGCAGCACATTGACAGACGCCCAAGCATCTGGCGAGTCACCACCCTGAATGTTCAAACTGCTGTGAGCAACCTGTCTTCAGAAAGATGAGCCAAAATAACCTGAGAGGAATGGGGTTGGTGCGTGAGTTGGTGTTTGAATGACAGAAGCCAGTGAGTGCACATTGATCATTAATAATGGAACAGATTGCTGTATGTTAAGAATGAATAAGCAGATGATGGTCCCATGATGATCTTTGAGCACCTTTTGCCATCACAGATAGCTTCACATATCCACCTCTCTGCCATGGAACTGGAGAGATAGAAATAACTTTGGCCAGAACAGCCACTATTAAAGTATGATGAGTGGCCTCCGAGAGGGCTCTGTGTACAGCACTTTATTCAGGAATGATTACGTATTTATAGGTGTTGGAATTATGTTGTTTGCTTGTTTTATTGAAAAGCCTGTGGGTAATGTGGCGGCGGCCGCCTGGCATGCGAGTGTCACATCTCTGGAGGGCATCCCTGCAGAAAATCTTCCTCCTTGATGAATAAGTGAAAGAGCTGTATGCATTTTTCATCCACACAGAATCCATTGTCACTTGAGAGGTCTGGTTGGTGTGTAGAGTGAACCTGCAGGCAGCCAGAGAACTAACCTTTGTGAGGCTGCGCACGCACAAAGACATCAGATCATACATGACCACAGTGTCACAGTTATTTTCAATGAGCTTCGGTCAGGAAGTGGACACCAGCCACCCTGAGAACCAGTGGCTGCCACAAGAAGTTATTAGGCTCTGCAGGACTGCTGCTTTGTCTGTCATCAGTCAGACATATAGGAGTATATGTCTCCCAGACATATTCATACTTAAAGATTTTGTATTTTTAGTGAACAATATTGTACACCCCTTCTCCTCTAACTAAATACCGCACTGACAGCCTCCTGTGTGAGGCACAAGCAAATACATGAAGGTAGCAAAGTGTGCCCCGACGCGCCACTGGATGCAGTGTTTTGTGTAGATGGGGAACATCTTTGGGTATGAAACATTTATATTAAAAGACAACCTTTCTGGAAGCACATCCAGCCAGCACCCCCCCATGTTAACAGAAGGGAGCATCTTCAGTTGGCCAATGGGTCGGATGGCGACGGCGTTGAGGAAAAAGGGAGGCAGTTCGCTTGCACAGGCTCCTATGATCTCCAGAACCACTCTTAAGGCGCACTGGGACACATCAAAAAGCTTATCAATAAATAAATAACATGCAACACCATATTTTATTAACTGCTGTGAGGCTTCCGTGGCAAGGGGTCCTGGAGAAGACTGAGCTTGCATGATGGTGAGGATTGCAGCAGAAAAACAACGGCAGCTGTTTGGCTACAGACTTCTCCCCAAAACAAGCTGTCAATCACTAAAGCCAGCTATGAATTGGCCATCTGAACTTGAGTCTGACCTCTGTCTTCATCAGAGCCCGTAAACCAATGCATAAACAACTAAGAATTTGTCCAAATATAAAAGACTGAAAGCATCTTTTAGGCTACGAGGGTACATTTTCACTTATTCAAACACAACCACCAAGTTCTGTATAACCAACAAGGGTGTGAACTAGGTTTATTGGTCATTTCAGAAAATATCATTTATAGGACAAGTCATAATCCAACTATAACTGCACTCTAATTGAATATACTTCAGATGAAAAATCAAAAACATTTATGGAAGATGTCTTACAATAACTTAATAGTTTCTGAGTGATATGAGAAAGTGACAGGTTTCATTAAATCAATACATTTAAAATAAAGGCGAGCTCCAATCCTTGTGATTTGATTGAGTGCAATTGGTTTACTCTTAGTGATTTTTATGGTGTCTCTGCACTGTTTTCACTGTTTACTCACATCAATCTTCTGTAGCTGGCAGAAAACAATTTTAGTTAACTTTTATTTTACACACTTTCTGACAGTTTTGTGTCTCAGCTGAACTCAAACGGACAGTGGTAAATCGACGGTGCTGCTACTCTTAAATGTATACTCAGATTCAGTAAATAGTCTATTGTTTTTCTTTGACCCGTGTGGTTTTTGGAGCCAACAAACTTGGAGCCAGAGAAACACCTCTGACACTTTTTGGCTATATAATTCTGACAGAAATCTGACACTATTCCTGGAAATAGAGAGTGTTTGCCTATTTTTGCTTACAGTGAAAATGTTGTACTGCTCCCTTAACATGACACAAACAACTCTTTACTTTTATAAGCCCCTATCTTGGAGTGAAGGTCTGCTGTTTTTATAGCACATCCTGCTTTATAAGAGCCACCTCTGCCAGAGCAATGGTAAGACTCTGCTTGTCAGGAAATATCTGTGCATCGCCAATGGATTAGTGTGTATTTTTGTGTGAATTTGTTTATGGATGTGTAATTGTGCATCCAAACTTCACGGAGCATGGCGTGTGTGCACCTGGGTGTCATCTGTAGTGGGCTGTGAAGGTGTCATTGTGGCGGCCAGGCCCTGTAAGCTGTCAGGCTGTGAGAGATGCAGCGCCTCTAAAGGGCATGCTTTCTGGGCCTTTACTGTCTATTATAAGCCCCACAACACTCATCAAGGCTGCTTCAGTGCACCCCGTGTCCCTCAAGCAGCCACACTGGAAAGCCATGCACCTTTTCTAACTAGGAAAGCCCATGCCTCTAAACTTCACATACCCTTGTCTTCAGTTTTGACATGATAAACGCAAGCAGCAGTAATGAGGCATCCAGTTGTCAGAGCGACCATATTGTTTTGCTCAAATGGGAGTGAAAGAATCCTCGCCATTCCTCTGCATGTTGTTCCAACCACCGTGACTTTTCCTTACTTTGCTTTAGTTTTACACTCTTTGCACATAAAGTTAGGGTGTACATGTTTTTAAAGTATTTTAATAGTATTGTGATTGTATTGTTAAATAAAGAGTTAAAAGTTAAAGTTACACGTGGTGTCCACTGACTCCAACTTCAGTCCTGCCTGACTTAAAAAGTTCTTAAAACAAATGTGTGTTTTGTTACACTGGGCTCAGTGTGGAAAGTTTCTACATAGGATCTATTCTCTTCTGTACTCTGCATCGGCCTGCTCCAATCCCTTGGGAATTAAGATAAGATAATCTTTATTTGTCCCACAGTTGGGAAATGTCATACTTTACAGTAGGAAAGAAGAGCTCACTAAAGAGGACCAGATCAATGACTGGAAATGCTTTTTTATGTTGTTTTTGTTTTTTTATATATGCAAGTTCACAAAAACATTCAAAATGATGCAATTATGCTACAGCCAAATAAAGATGTGGGCAGAAAAGTTAGTGACATTACAGAGGTTTTAGACCCTCGTGAGCCTGTGTGGCTTTGGGTAAAGCTGCACCACAACTGAGTGAAGTCATTGGAACATTCAAACCACCGTCAACTTCATCTAAATATGCCCTGAGGTCAAAATCAGTGGACACCAGGCTGAGGTTTTGAGATTTTAATTTAAACAAACAACAAAGCACATATCTGATAACAAACTAATATATAGAGCTGTTACCTCAGAAAGAAGGCCCTGGGTCCAACTTCCACACGGGGCCTTTCATTCTGAATTTTGCATGTTTTCCCCTTCCACTCCAAACATGTACAATGTAAACTAGCCTTGAGCTTATTACAGTGTGTTTATAGCAGTAGCTGCACATAAATATACACTTAAAATTAAAACATTTAAAACGATTTTGGCATTACACAACAATGCCTACTGACAAAACATCTGAAATACTCTGATTAGTGGATAGATCTAACATAATGCAAGGCATTCCAATTATTGTGACTTGACACTGGCAGATTTGGCGAAAGCCAACAAAGGTCTTGAGTCAATGTCATACACTCGTACATCCAATCAATACATTTCAGGTTTAATGTTTGTGTTATCTTGAGGAAATCATTGTTAAAATTCTAATTATAGGCTCCACGCGATTGGCTCTTGCAACTAGAGAGAATGACACTGGAGGTGGTGACAGCTCCGGAGCTTAGCTAGACACTATTGAGGCTAGCCAAAGATTGAGACGTGTCGCTATCTCACCATCTGTAACCGTCACGCCTGGCGTCTTTGGAAACAGATCGCTCTGATAGCAGCCACATCAAATCTGCAGTTTGCCAGGCAAATAGAATAAAACTATCTATCGATCTTGCCCCACCTCCCCGTGTATCAACACAATCCATCTGTGTTTATCAGCCTATCTGGCTTCCTATCTTGTGTTGTTCTGCAGGCAGCTCTTCTTTCCCTTTCTTCTCTTGGACTTTTTCTTCCTCCTCCCACATTTGTTTGGTGATCCATCAGTCTATTTACCTTATCATGCTGCCAAACCATCCATTTACGCTCCCATCTGTCTGTCAGACTATATCTTAGCTTCCATTTGTCTAACTATCTCTCTGTCTACTCATTCACCTGTCAATCATCTGATGAGCTGTGGCTGTCGTAGACCTGGCCTATGCGGCTGATGACCTCGCTGGCTCAGAGACTCACTGATAAAGTCGTCAGTTTGTGCAACTTCATCAACTTTTAAATTTGTAACTGCTGCAACAGGGAGCATGAATGTAAACTCATAGGCCGTTATTCACATGTTTATTTGGACGAGATGGTTGTTTAGGTTCCGACGTCAGATATGAATCTAAGTCGCTCTCTGCGCTCACATGACTTGGCATGTTTGAAAACTCCACTATCTATAATCTGGACTGCAGACTCTCAATCCAAAAAGAAGCAGGTCAGTGATTTGGCTCGGCCCCTCTCAGATCAAGCCCCAGTGGAGCGGGCCAGACACTGCTGTCCGTGCAGTGAGGGCCCGGCCTCCCACTGCGGCCCGATCAGTCTTATAGGATCAGTGAGTGAGCCCCCGAGGCGCCAAGCGCTTGGCCTGATGGATGGCGCTCTCCTGGCTCAGCTATACTCCGGCCCCATCTGTGCTCTCCATGGCTCCCGCCTGCAGCCTCCTGGTCACGGCCTACACTGTTCAAACTCCAAATCACCAGACCCACTTTGCTACATCGTGAATCTGACACCAGCAGGGGCCCACCAAGCATGAAATGTACAGTGGTCTGCTGATATTGGCAGACCTGATCAAACATCGGGTGAAGAAGGTTAACTCATGGTGTAGCTAAGGTGACTTTCTAGGTGACTATTTTACTCTTGGTAGCTACTTCACCTTAGTGCAGAACATATTGTAATACATTGTTTGAATTTATTGTCATTAATTTCTAAAGTGAAAGGACACTAATGTTATGGATTGTACATCAGACATTAGAAGACTTTTTGTGACAAATATGATATATTTGTGTTCAGGAAATACATGTTGCTTGTTTCTTGGTAAGACAATATAAGAATAAGAAAGAGTTGTTGCCATTTCTATCCGTTGTTAGCATAGTGATGATATGTCTCCAAAACAGTGCATGGAAGGCCGTCTCTGAAAAATTCAAACGAAACCAGCAAACAGGTGCTGCCTTACCTCTTGTATCCTATTTTAGGGACAGACACTGGGGGATATTTGTTTTGTTTCTTCAGGGCCAGACTTAGTTGCCTGGCGAAACTCAACTGCTGCGAGGACAATCATGAATGGGAGTTTTGCCTCAGGCTCAGATCGATCGCAAAGTGTTTTCATATAACTGTTCATTTGTGCTGTGTGCGCCTCCGCTGCATCCCACTCTGCCAACAGGCATTGTTCCGTGACCGAGGAATCAAGTCCAGCAGAGATATTTTAAGGAGATTTGTGGACCGGAAGGGCCTGCAGAAGCTTTGGGTCCAGCCACGACTGCAGCGGGCTTGTTTTCAATCAAAAGACAAATGTTCATCGAGCTTCAAGGACAGTGATGGATTTCTTTTTGAGTTAACGTGTGTATCCATAGAAAGCATAAGGTGCACAGTACACACAAATTCTATGTTACTTGCACAAACTTGTGTTGCAGCCCCTCTAGAAAACTGTCAAAGCTTTCCAACTAAGAAGACAAACTTTTCTGGGCCTCAGAAGGATGTTTTTTAGTGGCATAGCCTGTACTGACATGCTGATAACATACACTTGCTAAAATTGTCCGAGCAAAGTTGATGCTTGATTTTAATAATAAGGACAGTCATCATCTCTGATAATGGCTTGGATTGCATTCTACCAATTATTATGTTCACATTTCTCTCTACGACTCATCTGGCATCATCTAAAACAAAGAAGGGTCCCAGCTATTATATACAACAATAGACAGTCCAAACAAAGAACTATTCATTCTTTAAAAACCCTTTGTACATTTATTTTCTTTACAAACAATGAACATTTTAGCATTTTGACAAGTTGACATATCCTCATACAATGCATACCTTCATAGCCATTTGTCAGAGAAGAGGATTTGTATTGTTGTTGGTGGTTTAATTGAATTTTATCACACAGTTGTGTTTATTATTCAAACATACTATATTCCAGGCATGTCCAAACTCAATTGCGGCCCTCAGTGTCATTTTATGTAGCCCTCTGCCTTGCTAACTCAAAGTAGTTAACTGTGTCATCCATCCATCCAACCGCTCAGCCAAAATAGACGTCGTAACTCGTTTTAAAGCGCAGTACATCTGGAAATTGTTGACTTGTGAGCTGGCAGGATGGTAAACATTTGTCATTCAGCCAACTTCGGCTCTGTTATAGATAATTTAAAGCTCAGAACAGCCCGATGTCAAGACAGCTTGTGAGGTCGACCCAGGGACTAGTCTGGTGAACTAATGTGGCCCTCTTACTAAAATGTTTGGATACCCCTGCTTTACTCAAATAACCCAATCACCCGGCCAGTATGTTGATTATAGGATCATAAATTGACACACTTAGCTTTGAATGGCACTACAGATAACCATCCTTGACAATAAATGGGTTCACCCAATCACCATAAGTGGAAAAATCATGTCTTATCATTCATCTCTGAAAAAGAAACACATTATGAATACGTATTTGCAAACTTACAACAGCTGTCAACTGATACAACTGGGTTTGCATCTATATGTATCTGCATAGAGGGTAGAATGCCTGTGCTCACTCACTGGGTCAGGGTCGCAGCAGAGATGGAGGGAGATAGTGGTGTGGGGAAATAATCCACGCCCACTGTCCTGTCAGGACCGATCACATGTGTTATGACCAGGCCCCTAACGTATCCTGGTTGTTATCGTTTATCTTTCCCGCTGTCACTGGCCCTTCATACTCTATATACAAACTGTCACAGGAAAGTGCAGCTCTGTGCTCTTAGAAGTTGAGGTTACGGATAGGAGCGGCTGTGCTTGTAAGTTTATGCTGTAAACCTATTTGCTCCTTGGCCCGCTATCATCAAACATTACTCCATCTGCTCGTAACCTCGCCGTCATCTTTGACTCTCACCTCACCTTCCACAAATACGTTGAACAAACTATTCAATCCTGTTTCTTTCACATCTGAACCATCGCAAGGATTAAAAACATTCTCACTACTCCTGAGCTCCATAAAGTCGTCAATGTCCTCATCTCCTCCCGCCTCGGCTGTTGTATTTCCCTCCATATTTTCCCTTCCATATCCCTCTTTCCCCTTTAACTGGTTCAGAGCGCAGCAGCCAGATGTCTCACTGGTTTTAATAGACGGGAGTACATTACCCCTGTTGTAGCCCCCCTCCACTACCTCCCTATGCTTTTCAGAATGGATTTCAATATTTTACTGATTGTTTTTATCTGTCTGTGTGTTATACACTTTCCATGTTTACTATACCACATTGCATTGCCTTTATTTTGTCATTCTTAATGTGTGCCCTCTATCTACTGTGTTATTCTATATTTAAGATATTTGTTCTTTTTGGTATATTATATATGGTTATTTGTATGACTTAAATCTTGTGTAAGTCCTGCACAAAAACTGTTGTTTTATGCTGACTGTACAGCACTTTGTAAATTATTATTCCAATGTGTTATACAAATAGAAATGTATTATTATTATTACAAAATGTATATGACTCATACTTAGATGTACAAAGTGAATATCAATATCATAGAGAGTGCTAAATAAAGAGCTAGAGGACTTTACTCTTAAATGTGAGTCAAAATGAGCCAGAGCGAGTTGGAGCAAAACTTTGTCCATGAGCACTCCTGTATTGGGCTTCGTTGAGTTCGAGGGTTTGCATTGTCCATCTACATGCAGTGAATACACATCTACCACCCCACACTTTCCATCCCTTCCTGGATTGTTGCTGTAACCAGGAGTGTGAAGAGAACTTTGAGATTCAGAAGAGATGAAAAGGCCAAAAGTGAAGGTGTAGAAGCCGCATTTAAAACCCAATTGGAAGAATTTCAGTATCTTGCCTCAGCGTGTTTATCCAGAACTGTCGGAGGCATTTCTCTGTCACAGCATTCCACTCTGGCCTTCTCGGGAAACTGCCGCCATTTAGGGGCTCCACAATAGTGTTTGAAAGCAAGCATTAGTTTGTACAAGAATGGAATGAAAGTGCCGGGGAGAGAACTATGTATAGCTGTGTGTGCAGAAGGAGGGGGACAAAATCTTCTCAGGCGAAATATCTGCGTATCTATTTCCATGGAGACGTGTTTTTTGTATAGATGCAGGACTTCAGCATCTATACTTTAATTTTTTTACCTATTCAAATAAAAGTATTACTTCGAAAAATGATATGTTAGCATCCAATGTGTCACTTTTATATACATATATACAGTATATATCTATATTTGTATTCTAGTTTCAGGATTGTGATGATAAAAAGGTTTGGTGTGCATTTACAAGAGAGAGCCAGTACCTTAATGAGCCCTCCCTCTTTTCACACACCCAAAAAGTATGTAATTTTCTTATATTTTCTATATATGTTTTACTATTACTTGCAGTAGATTACACAGTACTTTATACTTGTTTCTTATTTTGTCAAAGGTAGAGATTTTATACTTCTTTATCATGCTAAAGTCAGAGTTTTGTACTCATGATGCTAAAGATAGACATTGTTTACTTGTTTCTTCTTCATACTAGATTTTTATTGTATTTAATATAGTGTTTTTGTTCAATTATCTTGTGCGTTGTGAGCAGGATTACTATTGCAACAACACATCATCAGTAGGGTAAAACTAACCTGTCTCACGACGGTCTAAACCCAGCTCACGTTCCCTATCAGTGGGTGAACAATCCAACGCTTGTGTGGGGGCGACAGTGGCCCAGTTGGTAGAGCATTGGCCTTTGGGCCTTAAGGTTGTGGGTTTGAGCCCACCATGAGACCTACTTCAAGGCTCCCACTGATATCTGCTGTTGTTTTGTCCTTGGGCACTTAACCCCACCTTGCCTGAAGCCCCCACTGAAAGATCAAGGCTGTGTTGTCACTGACAGAACAGCCATCCCCTGTGGACTCACCACCTGTAGGGGCTGGTGCTATGTGAATTGGGTGTGGCTCTGACTGCCACCCCCCCCGACCCTGAAATGGATAAGGGGAAGAAAATGGATGGATGGATCTTGTGCTGTGTCCAACCATTCCTACTGTTCTGTAAGTGGTGATGCAACACTAAAATTTCCCCACAATGGGACACACAAAGGATCTCTTCATCTTAATCTTATAATAATATATTTTGTACGTGATAATTGTTTATTAAAAGTGCATCCGTACATTAAAATCATTTACCTTCATGTTATTGGAAAACCATACAACCAACATTGCAGGCCTTCCTTCATGCTGTGCAGGAATTGGATGTTTCCTGGTTGCTTTTTGTTACCCTATTACTCTTAATCTTAATCGAGAGCCTGTGTTCCCTGAAAATGTTTTTTGCACGGTTCGCCCCATAACTTCCAGCAGGGGAGAAATAGCTTCTTTGCGCCTGCATCCCATTTATACCCAGTATCTTGTTTCCTTGTAGGGAGCTCTATTACTCCATAGCTTGAAGGCAGGAAAACATTTCGGGAAAAAAGGAGATGAAAAGAACTGATAGAAGACTTGTGGCGTGCACTTTGCAGACCGGAATACATGTTTATTTATAACAGGTCAAATTTAATCACTGTCATTACACTCTATCTCATCCAAATACCAAATGAAAATTAACCAAAGGCCAGTGCAT